TCAAGATTAGTGTCCTTATTTTTCATGATTATATAACATTTTCAAAGTGAAAATATTTAGGATTATCACCTGGCCTATTGCAAGCTACATTTCAAACTGTCCCAAAATAAAAGCAAACAGATGATGAGGGAAGAAGAAATGATTATTTACACATTCACAGAGCATTCTATGTCTCGTAAGGAAGATCAAAACATCTGATCAAAAAGCCACCCAGAAGCTAGGTCTGCTTAGTCACGTGTTAGCAAATAGGAAACAAAACAGCAACTGAAATTCATACTCCAGATCTTTTTCCTTATTAGCACACATACTATTTGTTTTAAGAGAGCTGAGCAAAAAATACCCACTGTAAAAAACACAGAAGACACAACTATTAGTCCATTCTCCCACAAATAACTAACACCTAAGTTTAATTCTTTCGTTTGCTTCAGGGGATTCAAAAATCACATCTTCCTTAGCCACTGTGTTTCCTTCCAGTGGAAGGATTTGTCACTTTCCTGTCCAGACTGGGTTAGTAAGAAAATCATTTAGGATGTATTGGGTCAGAGAGTGAGAGGAGTATATATACTAGTTGGGAGCAAAAAACCTTAATGTCCATATCCTACTGTTTTTAATATTCAATTAAATAAATAAGCACTGCATGAAATAGTTATGTAACTGGAAAACAACACCAACAGAAGGCTTTAATACTGAGCTTGATGACTGTCATCCTTTTAAAGAAAGGAGGTACCAACAACATATGGTCACCACCTTAAAGCAGTGCAGTCTAGACACTTCCACACTTTCCCCAACTATACCACTGGACAGAGTTTCCTTAGACTATTCACTCCAACTCCAAATTTCTTCTATTTCTTCCCTACCTCCCCTCTACGGCTACCTGATAAACAACTTTCTAAATACAGCTTCCCCTTAGTTGCTCTACGGCAGCAGGTGTGATCACAGGTTCCCAGCACAAACAAGGAAGATCAGCTTTCCCCACTCCGAGCTGTTCACTGCGTGGCTGCACAAGCACCATGTTAACATAAGGACGGAGAACCATGACAACCTTGATCTAGGGTTTGCTCGAACTGCCACGGAGCTACTCCCTGAAGTGTTTAAAAATAAGTTACGCCTACGCACACTTGATAATGTTGACAAAGGGAAAACAGTACTTACAGGAACTCTGGCAGCAATTCTGAAGTCCTGTTACTTATGTACCAGTGATGGACAGTCCTAACGCAGACTTCCCAATGAACAAAACTTAATTAAAAAAACCAACAAAAACCTAACTATGTGTCAGATCCCAAATGATGGCTTCTAACATTATGACTTCCAAAGACAAAAACCTGGTTTTTATTCTTGCTGACATTTGGCAGTATAGGACTGCTGTTCATAATATGTTCTCCTTACAACAAACCTTTTAACAAAAAAACCTGCTAGGATCTTGAGGTCCCTTAATGCTGCAACATTCAAAACGAAGTATCATGAGCTCGTAGCATTTTCTATACTGAGTCTTAAATATTCTGAGAGCACCAATATGAAAACCTGTACTCTGAATCCTCGACAAGATACAAACACAAACTCTGCTCCTCTTAGTTGAACAAGCTGAGAAACTGGCCTAAAAAAAAAAGAAATGCATCAGAACACTATGCTGCTTTTCTGAGACAGGCTAACTTTACACATCAAATACAAGAGACTTTCCACCTAGAAGTGGAACAGAAGTCTAGTTCCAAAATAACAGCAAGCAAAGTCCACTTTCTCAAATTAAATCAGAAAGTGTATTTTTCACTGCACCAATGAACTACTTGAATAGTCAGCTCCTGAAACTTCATAATGTCAGATCAATAACCAAGGTTACTTATCTTGTAAAGGAATGCTGACAAAAAATGTTTACTCAAGATCCTTCTTGTCTAGAAAAGGGATTCCTCCCGTTTTTCCTGTGTGTCCTTCCTTAAATGCGTATTTTATAGCTTAAAACCCAGCTCAAGAACTAGGATGCTACTTATGAAATAAAAACAAAGCAGCTACCCTATTGCTTTCTGGAAATTTCAGGAGAACTGCCCTGTTTTCCAAATTACAAATGCCGGAGATAAAAGGTGGCAACTGAGGGAGTTTATGTTGTTCAAATGCACCTGCCATACACAATGTACAGCATACTAAGTTTGTCTCAAAGAAAATACATCACAGCAAAATAAACGTTTCGGTCATTGCAAGTCTTTCCAGGGACTAACACCTCAATGAAACTTCACCGACTTTGAGCCACTTAAAAGGCAAATTCTCAAAGCCTGTTAAAATTCACACTTCTTGACAAACTACGTACAGTAACATTTTTGTTTACTTGCTGCCTGAAAAGTTCACTGGATTTCCAATGGTTTCTTCAGCATGGTTCACAGACTACAGAAACATCAAAAAGTTTAATGATAACAAGACAATAAACCATGTATCCTAACAGCTAAAAATACATTTGAGTAGATACTACGTCCATCAAAGCTTAAAGTAAGAAGCTGCTTTAATTCAAACAGACACAAATAGCATATAATTTGGGATAGAAAAGAGCAACTTATTAACCACTCTTGAAGTGAATAAATAAATTAATAAAGTTTAAGGGTACTAAAAAGACAACTCACATTTAATTCTATTATCCACAGCAAGGTTATGAATAAGAGATCAAATGTAACAAACAAACAGAAAGTCCTTCTGACATCTGATATGCCTTTCTTCTCTCTGCCTTCATATGACTCAATCCTTGCCATCAGCTGTGCCGGGTTGATGGAGTGGACATCCCGCAAGGAAGGACAGGATTCCACACTGCTACTGTGAGCATTTTCTGCATCACCTGGCACCCGATTCATCCTGGGTCTTCTTAGAGTGGTCGTCTTCCAGTTTCACCATCACTAGAAGGCTGATCCATATAGGAAGAATTTCTAAACAAACAAACAAAACCAAAACACATTAGCCACCAAACTCCCAGAATTCCAGTAGGTATTTTCATCTGACCATGTCAATTCTCTTTTTGCTAAACTGACAACTATGAGAATTTGGCAAGTAGGCTCTAAAAATTGTTTCTAAAATAAGATATAACTTCATCTCTCAGAGGATTTGTGGAACAAAAGAATCAATGTTCAATTAGACCGGTGGGAATGACGGAGCACTGTCTAGATTTAGAAGGCTTCATTCTCCACGTTGTTAGAGTGAGATCATTAAATGCGAATGAATAAAAAGCATGATGGTGCGCATCTTTAAGGTTTCCAATTCTGATTTAAATGCTCTCAATAGGAAGCCAACTTTAAAAAGTTCCACACACATTTTCTGAAAAATGGCAGTGTTAGCTACCAAGCACATCCAGAGCTGGCACAACCAAAAGATCAGAAGTCCATTAAAACCCCTGAACACCGTAGTAATTCTATAAAGCAAACATACTGCGATGAAATTCAGCTGCTATGACAACTTGCATTGCCAGACAGGGTCTTCCTGAAAAATCTGTATGCAACCCACTGGTTGAAGGCAATGCCATTACCCTAAGTGTCTCCTGATTACAAGACTTTTAAGAATATTTCTCAGGTTAAATTTCTTATAGAACTGGAGCAGTTTGATGTACAATTCACTACATTACTCCATGAGAACCTTTTTCCTATTAAAGCCTCTAGAAAGAGTTGACTAAGAAGGTCAAAAAAGTTTAAAGGAAATGCACAAACCCCGTAATTTTATGCAAAATAGTCAGAAGATTAAGCTATACATCCCGCAATGCAAATCACATCAGAGAAGCTTCTGTAACACTGGGCCAATAGCTTTTTGAAATTCAGGAACAAAACTTTGTCCCTTCCTGTGTGGGCTGTCTTTCAGTAAACTGCGAAACAGAGAGAGAAACCCTTCCCACTCTTTTGGTCCAAGCGTTTCAATTCCCAGTCTGCAAGAACACAGTCAGTCAAAGCACAACAGGAAAAGCAGACGGGGGATCTGTAACACACCGCTAGGCAACCACCAGGACCAAAAAACACAGGGGTAAAGGAAAGGCGGGGCAGGGAGTTGCCAGTGCACAGGCATCACGAGGAAGAGGCAGGGCAGCCAGGGATGGCCAATGTCTAGGTCAAGTCACACCTAGCAGCCTTCAGGTAGTTCCAATTCCGTTTTTCTTGGGCTATGTCATGAGAATGGTAACAGACCTGTGCCAAGACAGAAACTACCGTGCCAGCTGAGTCTCTGCCTGCAGGGAACAAGCTATCAGAGGCAAACCAAGCCGGTATCAATCACCATCTCATTCTGGGATCTGGCTGTGGGCCAAACCAAGCACAAGGCCAAGCTCAAGCACAGGCAGCTACTGCCATCTTGCTCCTGCCTGGCAATCAGCCCGGATGCTCCTGCCCATGGCCTTCCAAAGCCAAACCAAGGCATGTCTTCTGGTTCTCGGTCATAAACCATAAGACCAGGAAAGCTGACAGGCCTTTTGCTGGGCCTAATCTCCTTTAAAGAGGTGTTAGCAGAGCACAGGTGGCCAGAGGAATTAAGAAGTGGGAATATGTGATTGAAATAATCAATTTAATCATTAACCGGAATAAAAATAAAGACAGAAATTGTTGTACGGCACTTGCTCTTGTTTCAAGATCTTTTCAAGAAGATTTACAACTGAGCTTCTTCATTATTTCTCATTCTCTCCCTCATGTTTACCCAACTTTGAGTGAGAGGTGTTGGGATTTGTGCAATGACTTTTCCCAGTAAGTACCAGCCTCAACTCTGTAACATGTGCTCCCTCCCTTCCTTGGAGTCATGCACAAATTAGAATTTGTAAACACCATTAGGCAAGTGGACAAACTTTGAAGTTAAACAGAACTTGCATCAGGTTTCTACCTTTTTTAAAAAAAAAATACCAACAAAACACACTTGAACAGTTATAATACTGAAAGAACTAGGAAGCTTTGCAGTGGGAACATGAACGCAGACTCTCTGCACACTAAGAATTCCAGGGAACCTGCTTCTCCACAACTATCCCATGTCAATACACATTTTCAGTCAGAAACTGTTTTGTAATTGCTTCTATACCTCTGTTTCAAATACCAGCCACTAAACCTTATTCTATAAATCATGTTTATCTGTTAGTTTGATAATATCCACTTGTTATCTAAAATACCTGCCTACTAAAATAATTTAATTATTTACTATGCAAAGACTATTTCTGTACAGTACACAGTAAAGTTGAGCAGAAACATGGTTATCTCATAACATCTTCTAGTAAAGACTAGTACATACCTAAGAATTCATGTTGCTTCTTTAAGGAAAAGAATAACATTTTCAAAAGTAAGTAAAAGTTCTGAAGAAAGCTCTGCCATTTATTCTGTCCTTTCTTCCTCCAAACAGAATTAGCACTAATTACCATTAATTTCATTATTACCATCAGACTCATGACTCTATAGAATAGAACAGTTCAGTTCAGCTGGAAGAGACCTACAACAATCACCCAGTCCAACTGCCTGACCAAAAGTTAAAGCATGGTGTTAAGGGCATTGCCCGAGTGCCTCTTAAGCCCTGACAGGCCTGGGGCATCAACCACCTCCCCAGGAAGCCCATTCCAGGGTTTGACCACCCTGTTGGTAAAGAAATGTTTTCTCACATGAAGTCCTCACCTCCCCTGACGGACGTAGCTTTGAGCCCTTCCCACGCACCCTGGCACTGGGTACCAGGGAGAAGAGCTCAGCACCTCCCTTTCCACATCTCCTCCTCAGGAAGCTGTGGAGAGCAGTTGAGGTCACCCCTCAGCCTCTTTCTCTCCAAACTAGACAAACCCCCTGTCCTCAGCCGCTCCTCAGCAGACATGCCTGCCAGCCCCTTCACCAGCTTTAGTGCCCTCCTCAGGACTCATTCAAGGACCTTCACATCCTCTTTAAGTTGAGGGGCCGAGCACCACACACAGAACACAAGGTGAGGCCACACCAGCACTGAATACAGCAGAATAATCACCTCTTTGGACCGTCTGGCTATGCTGTGTTTGATGCACCCCAGGATGCCATTTGCCCTCTGGGCTGCCAGGGCACACACTGCTGACCCCTGTTGAGCCTCCTGTGAACCAGCACCCTCAGGCAGGGCTGCTCTCCAGCCACTCCTCTCCCAATTTAGACATGTCCAGCATTACTCTGTCCCACGTGCAGAATCCGGCAGTTGTTCTTGTTCAGTTTAACCCTGTTAATCATTCCCCAGCGCTCCAATATAGCTAGATCCCTCAGCAAGGCCTCTTGTCCCTTGAGAGAGTCAACAGCACCTCCCAGTTCAGTATCATCAGCAAACCTACTAACCTTAGTGCATTCAACTCCTGCATTCAGATCACTGATAAATGTATTGAACAGAACTGGCCCTAGAACTGAGCCCTGAGGAACACGGTGCTGGTGACTGCTCACCAGCCAGAGACAGCCCCATTCACGAGAACCCTTTGAGACCTGCCCTTCAGCCAGTTCTTCACCCAGCGCACCGTGTACCTGCTCCCTGCACAGCTGGACAACTTATCCAGAAGGATGCTGCAAGGGACAGTTTCAAAAGCCTTACTAAAATCCAGAAAAACTACATCCACCACCTTCCTTCCCCTCCTTCATCCACCAGGTGGGTGAAATGACAGAATGTATAAGCTTACTGAAACGTCAAAACATTTAAGAGTGAAATAAAATTTCTGAGATAAGAATCCACATTCATATATTCGTGATATAGTTTCTCCTCAGAGAAGTACGATTTTATCCTTTTCTCTTTTCTTGATAACTGAATACATTCACTCACCTCCCACAACAAAAATATTCAGCTAAGTAAGTTTTCTATACTGACCTATGAAAAGTCATAGACAACAGGGTTTCCTCCTTGAAAACAGCAAAGTTTGTATCTGCTTAATTTAAAATAAATGTGATTTGTCGTCTTTTTTTTTTTTTTTTTTAACAATTGTTATGGCCATAACTCAGGCATCCAAACAGTAAATTAAATTCCGAAACTTATCCTAGTAACATAAAGATTTTACTCTTATTAATAGTATTAACTAGCATAATTGAAAAGTAAAGGAGTTTATTCAAATTAACAAGGTTAGAACTGCATTCCTACCCTGCCCTCAAAGTCTAATGAAGCCTTTAGTAGTACCTGGTGAGAGCTAGCCCATGATTTTCAGGTTACATTTACAATTAACATCATCATTTTCACTTATACTGGCAGAAGCAGATGGCACATATTGCGTGTGTCAGTTTTACGTATATCTTGCGATGCAAGACCAGAATGGTACGTCCCTTTTCTATCCTTATACTATTCCTATTGTTTCCATTCTATTGTCCTTGTTTTAAATTATTTTTGTGTTTTGTGTGTTAATGTGCCACACATGAGCACCAGCACAACTTACGTTCCTTTTTTTCTTTCCAAGGGAAAAAAACACACAGCAGAATTTAACTGAGAAGAGATAACAGAAGCGATTTAAAAAAAAAAAAAAAAAAAAAAAAATCAAAAGTCAAAGTGTCATGTTGAGGCAATTTTAGGTAAAGGCAACACTGCTTTAGTTTAAAATATCAAAGAAACCATATTTGCATAAAGTAACTACTCACATGAAGTAACACTGTGTCACAACCACTGTTGAAATATATTGAAAGCCTAGAATATTTTTATGCATATCTCTCACAACACTAAATACTGCTCAAGAATTCCTACCATAAATAGCTTTTCTTGGAGTTCAAAAAAAAAACCCTGAAAATATTCTTCTTTTCAATGACTACAATAGGATGACAGGGCCAATGCAGCAGCCAAGATGCTTAGGTATTGTGAAACCTACAAGGTTTTCAGTACTAAATCAAAGGCTTTCCTGTAAAGAAAGCTGACACTGAAACAGTAGCAATATTCACTCACAATGAAACAAAAAAACTTCCTTGCCAAAAAGCTTCCTCATATAGAGAAATTCAACACATCAGTTCTTTTCCT